TCTCTCCGCTTTTTTCCCACCACGCCTTCTAACCTCATTCGATTTTCCGGCCCTTTTCCCGTTAGCGCACCCAACTAGTATCTTAGTCCGGTTCGCAAAAAAATAAAGTTACACGATTTTTATTTTTATTTTTATTAGTGTTTGTTTTAATAATCATAAAATATGTATTTTTTTGTTTGTTTTTTGTGTCAAAAAAAGTTGGTGTTCCTCGATAGAGATGAAGTAACACGTTGGCCACAAAGTGAAACAAAACGATAATAACGAAGTATGGGAAATGATCAAGCTGAAATGATGAAGCATGCAACTGCGATAACGTAGTCATGGTCAAGACCCCACACTTGAGTACGCTCTCCCTCTTTGGTCTCTACTGTCTCCCTTCACTCTTTATTTGAGCGCAACTCTTAACACTTACCCCAATAAAACCATTAACCTATTGCCCAAACTAACACCGCCATTCAACTGACCTTACCTAAAAACCTTGTTTAGCATCTTTGCTCGTCTGTTTTCGTCGATAAATTTGTGCAGGTCGCATAAGTTGCGTCTGTGATGTTAGTGGGATAGTGATGCGCCCACATTTGTGCAGTTCACGTCTAATTCTTGGTAGTCATGGTGGCAAAGATAAGTAAAATCGAATTAGGGAGTGGTGTAGGTGCACATTACTGTGGTGCATCATAGATGACCGGAAGTCGACAACCTTATTTATGGTTTCACTTTTTATTCTTCTTCGTCTTCGACACTTCTTTTATGCTCGTTGTTAACCCTTCCCTACTCGGTCACTCAACGCTACTATCACCGCCCGATTAGACAACTCGAAGATACTCAAAAAAAAGTTTGGTGTCTGACCCGACTGCCCTATGAAGCCCTGACTCTAACTTCCACCGAAACCGGTAAGGTTAGTTCCTACTTAACCTTAGGAAAAACAACTTGTCCCGCATAGGAACCAACATTGATTCAACCCCGAAAGGCAGAACCAATCTAAAACATGTCTCTGCATGACCTCGCTTAGTTTCTCAAAGTTTACATCTTACTTTTTTCGATAGTGAATGGGTTAGAACTCAAATTTGTATTCAAGAGTTAAGGGGCATATTATATGAGCTAATTCAGTCGGTCCCGATCAGGGCTGTAAAAGCAGTACCACCCAGTCCCCAAAACAATAAATAGAAAATAATAATTAAGAAATAAATAAAAATTGGTAACTTCTGGGTTTTAACAATCGAGTCGGCGATTGGAATCAGCGACAAAGCCATGTTTTATTGCTTCAGCGCTGCTCGCTGGCCTCAATCACTGGACCTGCCGTATGAAAGTCGAATACCCTATCTAATAGAGTTAAGCTCAATTTCGATATAAATCAATGCAAAGTTGAATATAAATGATATTATGCTCGGGTCTGGGCCTACCAAATAAGGTTAAGGTCCGCCTTTACTAGTTCAGGCCCTACCATCTAACCTCAAGGCCGTCGCCCATCCACACCGCGCACAAGAGGCTTGAAGTCGTACCTCGGACATCGAGCCGTGATAACGTTGAGTTTGTCTCTTCCTCGATCCGACCGCACCAAATTCCTTCAGCATATCATATTATCGACCATAAATAATGTTGTTGACTTCCGGTCATCTATCATGCACCACAGTAGTGTGCACCTACACCACTCCCTAATCCGATTCTACTTACCTTTGCCACCATGACTACCAAGAATTAGACGTGAACTGCACAAATGTGGGCGCATCATTATCCCACTAACATCACAAACGCAACTTATGCGACCTGCACAAATGTGGACAAATACCCTTGTAAGTTTTTTTTGTGCTAGCAATGCTACCATGATGCTAGTTATTGTTGTGGAGAGAGAGAGAGAGAGAGAGGGAGAGAGGAAAAAAAAAAAAAAAACACTTTGAGTCAATCACATAGAAAAAATAGTCATGCGAGTCTAACAACTGTCCTTTGTTGTCTGCCATCTTATAGTGAAAAACGTTATTATCATTAAAGAATAAGCGTTCTCCGCTCACAGAGAGATGAAGCTTCACAACAAAGGATATGATATAAACGATATTCATAATGATTACATGAACGTTTGACGGATACGACCTCCACCGTAATGGTTATTTGCTTTTTATCATATAATCCATTCATGAGAATAACATATCCATTCAGATTGTTTTTACCATACTGCAGATAAAATTTATTTTTTAATTAAGATTGTTTTATTTTTTATTTTTTTATATTTTGAAATACACTTTGAATCTTTTACATTTAACATTCGTCTTCTTGATCATTCACGGAGCGTTCCATATGTGGAAAGGTGGATTTTTGCATGTTCAATAGAACGAAAATACAATAATTTTTCAATGTTTTTTCCAAGTTTTTATTCGTGGCTGTATGTTTTTATTCGGGAAGAGATGACAATGTTTGTGGGCGCTGATTGAACATGTGGGTAACATTTCCGATTGCCACTGTCTTCTCTCAAATAAAACGTTCAGTCATTGTACGTGTATTTGAGGCAACTTTCACAGAATATGCGGCGAGAGTAACCGAGCGTGTTTTTTTTTTTAACATTGATTTGTATCACAACACCTTATATCAATGTAGTGAAGGATATACTCCAACTAGGAGTTACTACCATGCATGTGGTCGCAAATTTGACCATATTTACTTGAAAAATCCTTAATAATTTGACCGGACGTTTTAGTTCCAATGAAAACAATGTGAATTGGTTTATGATGTGGTTTAATATAGCTATCGTCTTCCACTACATACACCGTGCAGTTAATATAGTTATATGTTGGTTTTTTTTTCAGTCGACAATAATAAAAGATCATAGTGAGTGACATGGATATAAAGTTTATTGATGATAAAAATGTGGATAATGTTGCTACCATCTTTACCCGAATACAACATCCCATCATTATACATATATTTGGGCAGACTTTCAGTTCACATGCAACGATTAATAACTGGATGTTTTTTTCGGGTGAATAACATAGCAGTGAATTACCTAAACAGAAAGTCATTTGATGATGATGTTGTGGCTGGGGTTGTGCTTCTGTTTTCACCCGAATATAACGGTCGTGATATCGCAATTTCTCTCTCTCTCCCCCTCCCCCCCCAGCCAACCAAAGAAAAACCTTACTCGTACTCGATATCGCATGATCGTATATTTTTTGTTTCGCATCGTCATGTCGAGTTTGCATTCTACGACCGGTTTTGTCGATCTCACACATCAAGGGGATCAAGACATGGCATTGACTGATTGACTAATTGATTGATTGCTTGATTGATTGGTTGTAGCAAGATAAACGGATTCGTGTTTCATTGTGCATATTCATTATCATCCCGACACTGGTTAATGACTATTTTTTTATCATCAACTGATATGATTGATCTCAATTCAAATGATTGATTCCGATTGATTTTTTATAGAATAATATGATTGATTAATTGATTCGTTGATGATATTGATGGATTGACGTGTGGTCAACAATACAAAGTCGGTCCTTGCTCGTTAGGTAGCCTTATGGAATGTGCCACGTGTACTCTGATTAGTTGCATTCACAAAACACGTTGGATCCGCTCGTGAAACACAGTCATTTGCAGCAAGCCATGAATGTTCCTTTCTTGCCGCTTTCTCTTCCACTCCATCCCTGTTTTTTTGGCACGTGGATGTTAATTTTTTTGCCACATGACTTTTTGTGATGTTGATGCCTATTTTCTTGCCACGTTGATGCAGAGCAATCAAGTCACCGAGCCCCCGTCTCTTGCCACTCTCGGCCTCCGAACCCACAACTATCGGTCTAAGGCCGAGACGAGACTCCACGAAGACCCCTGTTGGCACTCTCCAACTACTGGATACAAGGCTCCGACGATACTATTCTAAAGTGCTACCATAGCCACCCCGAGTTTCCACTGCATTTGAAAAAGTGTTAAAAGACTGTTTCAAATGCATTTAGAAACGTTTTCGTGACTCCGCCATAGTTATCCTAAAACAAAAATGAAAAGAAGGGTATACTAGGCTCTAACTGTGATTGCCTTCTGCTTCATCTAGGGTTGCCCATATCCTCGGTCAAACTCATTTTGGAAAGTGTTAGTGCGACAATGCCTCGTAATATGGCTTAGGAATTGAAAGGCGCTAGGAAGCAAGTTAAACCACCAATACTTGGCCCAGCTATCGGCTGTGAAAAAAAAAAAAGAGTAAAAACGTTTCTAGTCGGATTAATTTGGGCGCTTTTGTAATGGCCCATACGTTTCCGAAAGTCGTGGTTTGTTTACGAGCACGACTTTAGGAAGTACTGGTAGTTTAAATAGATTGCATGGAAGGTAGGAAAGGGGGTCAGAGAAGGGGGGAGGAGGGGCTTTAAGACTAACAAATAAAACACTTTAGAAGGTGAGAATAAGGGACTGGGGGGAGAGGGGAGGAGGGAGGGGTTAAAGTTCGACAAAGATAGGGCAAACAAAAAGTGGCTTGACAGGTCCAGGGTCTACGGCAATGACTGGGTACCATGATGTGTCTCCCGATTGCAGATAGCCTGGACCTGGAGGGCATGAATTCCCCTTAAAAAAGTTTGAATAATGTCCTTGTACTATGCTTGCCGGGGTTAAGTAACCGGACTTGTGTCCCCCAGAGTAGAAGGGGCTTCTGTCTTTTAAAAAAAAAAGAGAATGCCCTGAAATGAAAGCGCCTGACAGGGTATACGTTGCCTTTGCCCTCATGCGGAGTCACATCAGAAAGAGCCATGCATGTGGAAACACATGCACAGCGAAACCAGCAGGACGTATTGCTGTCCATTCGCCCGTTTTCCTTGGGCCCACCGACTTCTTCCCCTGTTGCACTACCGTGTCTTCCCCAAGCCCCAAGAATAGCCTTTTATGTGCACATGAGCCTAAATAGACGAAGCCAGGTTGCTTCCGAGGCTCGCGAGCCTGCAGCTGCACCTTTTAGGCGCTCCCTGCGGCGTTTGCTACTGGCATGCAGTCGCGAACTGTAAACTCTGCTTCAGGTGAACTGGTGGTTTGAAAAAAAATGAAAAATGGGTACGGATAGACCCTTTTCCAATAGTCTAAGAAGTACTTCATCAGTCACAGGTTCCCTCAGGTTCTCTTTTGTGGCAAGGGAGAAGATAATCTGAGACAGTCTGAATTCTTTCCCTCCATTTTGCAGAGGATACCCACTATATGTTTCAAATTTGATCTTTCAGGCTGAGGTTCACCATGAGGAATCTTTCAGGCTGAGATTCACAAAGAGGATGGCAGTGGAGCGTTATCAATGCTCTTCTTCCAATATTTCCCAGTCATGACTGTAGGGAGGCGGCACCCGTTTTCCAAGAGATGCCACTCCCCACCAATAGATTGGACACATCAAAATTGAGGAACCCACTTTTGGAGGTTGTGCCTCCATCACCCCCCAAAGTGGCCCTTCCAGAGGGTGGGGCAATCAACACGTCTGGCAAAAGAGATTCAGGGAAACTGGTGGATAGGATGTCCAAAGGCAGACATACAATGTGGTCTTTTTGGTGTCATCGGGCCGTACATCCACAAGGTGCCTACTTTGAGCATGCCCTTGTGAAACTCCCTCCCCTACTTTCAAGAAGTTACTGCCGCCTAATGAAGGAGCTTTGACATCTGAGTGTAGTTGGCTGACCAGGCCTGCTGGCTGGTTGAACAGTAGCATGCTATCTCTTTTTGACTGTCAAATGGTGACCATCTCGGTCTTTTGACCTTCAAGGAAGAAAGAACTATAACTCTGGGCGCACGCCTGTGGGTGTTGGCAGAGGCGTAATGGACTTGAGTCGCACTGGTCTGGGTTCGGTGCGCACTGGTCTGTGTTCGCAGAGAGCAGTGTGGGGTCTGCAGCTTCATCCGTCCGGCGTTAGGTCCGCTCTGGGTTCAGGCGGCTGCTTGGGCCATGTCGTCGACATCGTCGCGCGACTCAAAACTCAAAACTCTCTGCCAGAAATTGAGGAGTCCGGCCGATCCCATTGGCACGTGCTTCTGAAGAAAGCCGTGCAACAACGATCACGAAAACCGATCGATCGATTGTCAACGCTGGATGCATCTACATCTCGTGTCGTCCGCTCTGCGCTTTATGTATGTTTGTTGTATGCATTGCCCGTTCTGTGTATGTGTCGACTCGACAACAGACAGGTAGTGTCCCGCTAGATACCGGTAGGACGTACCGATTGTGTGAACGCCTTGACTTCTCTTCTGAATCGTCTATTGGTGGCGCTCGGCACTAGTTTAGTTTCATGTTTGTCCCTATTGAGCGGTCCGGTTCGACAACAGTTGTAGAAGGATAGCATGCATCTGGCCCGAGACAACCCCGCTGCTGAAAGGGCATGAATCCGCGGACGGGCGGCAGCTAAAAATTGTCCGGCCTTGGGGGCAGAAGTAGCGTAAAACCGGTCCCGCGCCTGGGCAGTCGCGCCCTTGCTGCCTGATCTGCATCACGGCAGGCCCCTTGCCCTGCGTCGGATGTCCGAGGTGCTGGCAGGAGGCAGGGAGGTGACTTCGCAGAGCTATCATTCCCCTCTTCGCTGCGGTGGTTCTCGCGGCACCTTGGCCCTACCTGGTTGTTTGGCACATGTGCAGGTGTTTGCCTGCGCGGCTATTTGTTTTTGTTGGGGGTTCATTGGAGTCCTTTCGGCCATCGCGGGGGCGCTGGTGGCCGTCGCAATTGCCATCCTCGGTATCATCTAAACTCTCTTCTCCTCCTTTTTCATCGTCTTCGATGTGATCGTACACGTGTCGTGCGCTACCGTCCTCAGACATGTAATGTCCGAGGACGCGCAGTGCGGAGAGTTGTCGGTAATCGTCTTCAGAGGACGGCTGTCATCTTGGCTCTTCCGGAGGTGCGGAGAGGGTGGAAGAGACGCAGTGAAGGAAGTGGGTTGAGAGAGAGAGAGAGAGAGAGAGAGAGAGAGAGAGAGAGA